CATGTATTAACGAAAAGAATAACACTAGACAAATACAAATATATTAACATATTTTTCATTCATCAAACAATACGTACGTTTTTATTCCGCTACAAGGCTCGTTTTAATTTTGAAAATATCTGATTACTTTGAGCTAAACTATTCAACTCTCATAGTCAGCACAGCAATGACTGCAGGTATCTTTCTGTTCCACTTGATTTATAGCGGTCGATGACCTCTAAACTAGCTTTCCCGTGATAGGAAATCGGAAAAAACACAGGAAAAATCATTCAATGTTTTATAAACAAATGAAATCAGACAGCAACAAGTTGTTCGGCCATCGAATTTTTCCTTCCGTCTCTCCAGAGAATAAAGAAATATTTCAACCTTCGTTGATGTATTCGTTCTTTACCAGTCCAAAATTGTAAAAAAATCCTCTACAATTTGAACAAAGTGCAGGATGTAACATGACATAAAATCCGATTAGCATATTTCCAGCATATGACTATAATAAAATTTAAAAAAAGTCTGACCAATATAACTGAATAAACCTTTAAATATTACAAGAGAATTAAAAAGGTTACAGTGAGGGTTTTGGAAAGTTATTGCTTCATTAGCTTCACTGTTTGTTTTTTTCGTTATAAATAAGTAAGTGTAAGTAAAAAAGGGATTTTCAGCCAATTTTACACGATCGCAAATGAGAACTTTATAAATTCCAACCTTAAAATATAAAATTTGGACGATATGTGGATTTAGGAGAGTATTACAGTTTCAACTTTCGTGTTTACGATGTGTATGAAGTGTATTACTTTATTGTGGTATTTCTTGGGACTTCTTCTTCTCTTGTTAGGAGGTTGTTTCAGTTATTTGCTGTGAAACACTTTCTATGTACATTTTCATTTATATAAGATCCCCCTGCTAAAGAAAAATCGTATATTGAGATGAACAGTTCAATGTTATGGAGATATATTAATATATATTATTATATGTATTATTATTAATGGATATATATTAATATTATTTTCTGAGAGGACGAAAATTTCCTATTTTGTCCAACTATGGTTAATGTGGGCCAATGTTCGTTACATTATGCTTAGTTTCGCTCTTTCTGATAATGTTGAAGAAAATAGTTGATTATTTACAACACGTTCTACTGAGTTCAATGACACAAAAACCGATTCAACAAATAGAGGTTTCGGATAGTTTAAAGCCACCGACGTTCTTTAAGTTTCGATAAATAAGTCGTTTATGTGCCGCCTCGTCATGCCTGGGTGTTCCTTGCCAAAACCGGACATAAGGTAAGAAGTCAATATCAGCAGACAGACTCATCCTAAGTGGTACCTGGTTTATTACTGGGCAAAAAGGGAAACAGGCTCAAATACAAAAACCCACTAGCTGCTCCACCCAGATGGCCTCGGCACAGGTAAAACGCCACCTCTCCGGTGCACAACCTCTCATTAATTTGTCGAGAAGCTGACGCACCTCCTAAAACTAACCGACTGACATTCCAAGGGTGTCTACATTTCCAGCCGTTCAATCCACAAGCCTGAACTTTATCGATTTATCGCCTTATTCAGTGAGATAAAAATAAAAACATTATTTCAATAATATTAATGCTATTTAATATGTACGATGTTTCGTAAAATAATTTATACATGCATGACATTACTTATACTTAACATTCTAATTAGGTAAGTACAAAAGAAAAACCCGAATTTGGAAGAGTTTACGTAACTATTTCACTATAATATTCACACTATAGTAACTTGCAAAGATCTGTCGTAAATTAGCTCATAACACTATTTTATTTTATTACTAAAAATCACCAATTTACTCAAATATACAAGGAAAACATGATTACTAAGCTATTGATGTCATATTAGTACATTCGGAATCTTAATGGAAATGGGCGAAAAATGCATTTAGTTCACTACCCAAATCAGTAAACTTTGCTCAATTGTTTCTGTCCTGAGACAATCCACCTTATATTTAAATGGGGATAAGATTTGAGCTTAATCCCTCTAAATCATGCCCGATTTGAAGCAATGAAATGATGTTCTTCAAGATTTATCTCTTTTTTATAATTATTTTAAATGGTTATTATGCCAACAGTCGCACCCCTCAACGCTTTATAAAAGGGACTTGGCAGAAATCGCACAGGCCCCAACACTGAAGATAAAACGCAAATGATCCGTAACGACCAAATTACATGTTCTTCACCCAGCAGTCCAAACAAAGAAATCTCACAATAATGCTTTTTACCGGAAATCGACATGATAATTTATTAAATTTCGTAACCTCTAATAATCTTGGGTTCGAAAAGATCTCATGAAAGGTTTCATGCTATAGTAATTGCTTCGCTAAATGAAAATCACACCTGTAATTTTATGAAGTGTGTTTAAAGAAGAAATCAAATTAAATAAATTATAGATCATGTTTTGAACGAAATTATATATCGTTACCTTTTCATATAATATGGCATTACTAATTAAAAAAATCAACATGATAATTTATTAAATTACGTAAATAAAAACGAATATATCAATTATTACAGAAAGAACAAATTATATAAATAAAAATAGGCTCGAAAATTTTTTTACCACCTTACATTATATTTTTAATAATCTCTTATGACCCTTTACTCCAATAACGTATACCGTCCAATCTACAATATTATCAAATATTAACACTTAACTGTAAAATCTTATTTAAGAGTAAGCATGTAGTCGCTAATATTTCAAAAGAATTAGGGATGCAGTTATTCAATAAATATAAATATATTGTATAAACTTACCAATAAAAATCACCACGGCCATTTGGTAACCTTTGAACAAAAAGGTACTTAATGAACTAAAAATGAAAGAAGATGTATAAACTGCGAAAAATAAATGGGGATATTTGTATTTTTTATTATTCTTTTTATTTTAATTACATTAACCGATATATTCTTGTTAGATGGATGAAACCAAATAGAAAATAGAAACCAAAAACAAATACTTTGTTAATTCTCATTTTTAATAAGGGATTTACTTAAAACTATATCATGAAGATTACTCATTTTATAAACAAATGCCTTTTCTCGTCTTTTTTCCATTTTAATCCAGTGTTGTATTCTCTTTAAACATGGAAAGACATCATCTTGAACAAGAAGTTTGCAATATTATTGTGAGAATGAGTCATCGAGGTCGGCCGGCGAGTGGATATCGCAGAGGCAGTTGGCGTTTCACAGAGCGTCATTTTCCGGGCCGATTGCGAGAGATTGGAAGTGCCAATAGGTGGCCTGGCACAGTATCTCAGTGAAGGGAGGACAGAAATATTGTCATTGCTGCAAGACTTTCCATAGTGCCCGCCAGATTCTAAATGAAGTACAAGATGTACTTCAGTCTCTCGGAATCGGGCTAAAGCCCGGGAGACCACTCTCTGAGGAACGCCAACTGCCTATGCGATATCCACTTGCCGGCCGACCTCGATGACTCATTCTCATTGAAGATGATGTCTTTCCACGGTTAAAGAGAACACAACACTGGATTAAAATGGAGAAAAATCGAGAAAAGGTGTTTGTTTACAAAATGAGTAATCTTCATGTTACTATTCTTAAGTAAATCCTTTATTAAAACTAAGGATTAAAAAATGTTTTGTTTTTGGTTTGTACTTTCCATTTTGCTTTATGCAACTAACAAGAATATATCGGTTAATTTAATTAAAATTAATATGATAAGAATAAATTACAAATATCACTATTTATTTTTGAACAGTTTAGATGGAAAGAAATATATGGATGTGATACTGTGGGAGACAGTTGTTTCCGCATCAACTTTCCGTAGATCGGCGCAGATATACAGTATTCTTCCAAAATATAAAGGTGTTCACTAACGGGTCAAAATCTACTAAGACGTTTGGGCTTGGAAGGATCTCTTATAACCTAAATGTCAATAACATGTATTTTCCAGGTGATTGTCAATGTGCTCAGAAAAAATCCTTCATTTTAAACATACTTAACAAATTATTTTCACAATGGCTTTAGTGTTTAAGGTCACCCTAATTTATTCGACACCATTAGTGGATGCTACGTACACCTAGAACGTAAGTACGGGGAGATGTTAGCACTTAGTTTCATCCTCTCCCTCACAGGAACCCCCCCCGGCCTAAGATCCTACTTCTTTTTTAAAATATTTTTTATGCAGGGTCGCTTTTTTCACCCCCATCCACCAGAGATTTTCATTTCCATGAGATCTCAGACAATGGTTGATCCGCTCTCGGCGGGGTAAGGAAAAGTTTCAATTGACAATAGACATTCAAGCGGGAATGACCTGTGCAAACTTCGACCTCACCCCGGTCCGGGGTTGTTCAACGAGTGTTTATCTTTCCCCTTCTGTTCATTTTGTACAAAACCGCGCAATATAAAGCCATAAAAACGTCCCTTTATAAAAATTTTAATCAACCGAGTCAGCATTGTCAAAAATCGTTTGTCAAACAATGTACTTACCCATTATAAATTTTAAATCGTATGGGTTTACATTATAAAACAAGTAGTTTCATTTCCATAGATTCATTTTCGTTTTACATTAACAAAGTTTGTACCGGCATTATTATTAATCCAAACTTTATAAAATGAGCCGAGGGGCGATGTATTTATTAATGAATTAAATTTGTACAAAAACAATTAAATATTTCTAAACCTATCAACGTTTTTGTTGTTAGCTTGATTCTACAGGCCTTTACTTAACATTCTATGTAAGGAAAATCGACTAACAAAAAAAAAATTGTGCAATTTTTGTATATAGAATATATAAGTTTCGATTTAGGTGTAAAACATAATAATTCATTAAACACTGATTATTTAAATTATTATTTAAAAATTCTATATACATACCTTTTCCATTACATCCCAAGCGTTTTCAATGCAATAATTTATATTGGCCATAGCCAGGCATGCAGATCATCCACCATCAAGCCGTGATTTCTCTTATTGATTAGTCAAAAATCAAAAATATTGGGGGAATATTATGAAAAAAATCAACTACAGAACCATGTATTTATTAAGCGTAAGCCGTAACAGTACAAAATGTATTTACTTCCAATAAAAGATGAACATTACAATATTGATTTTTCAAACATGCATGTTAATTTGTAAATAAATATATAATTTTGGACAGATATACAAAAACCATAGCCTGAGCCAAATTATCTATTAATAAGATGTAGAACAACGTATGATTAGTCCAAGGATGCTAATGAGATAGTGAAATAAGGATTAAAACGCTACCTTTCCACCAATTAATTCAGCGTCTTCTGAAAATTTAAGAAAAGGAAATGTTAATGGGAAAATTCGAATAATGTTAATAACAATGTTTTTAAAAAATTATTAGTGCATGCAAGTTAATAGTGAACAATTAATTTAAAAAGTAAACAAACATTCTGAATGAAAATTCAAGGATAGGGTAAAAGGTGTGCAAGTATGGAGAAAGAAAATATGAAACTAATGATTAAAGGCAAGCTGAACAGAAGACATTCTCAAACCATTAATATAACAAAGAACTTAATGGGTATCTAACTGCAAACAGTTAGGAAACACATAATAATCAATAAGCTATAAATAAATCTGTGCTTTTTATTTTTAAGCTGACCGTATACCGAAACACGTATAGATTTACAATGATTACAATAATACCAGCATTTACAAACATGTGTTAAATAAAAGTGAAGTAAGAGAAAGTAATAGAAATTTATTTAAATTATTCAGCATAGAAGTTTAAAAAATATATTCATAATACTAAAAAAAAAAAGTTAAAGAGATAAACAATATGCCAGGAGTAGTTAAATTCAGTCATATTCAATGCTTACATTTAAAACTAAAAATACTAATTTTGAATATTTTTTCAATCTAAAACTCATCAAACAAACATAACAATGTTTTACTATTGAAGTATAGACTTATAGGTTTTTAATTTACCTAAAAATGTACAAAACTACGAAGATATTCACAAAATATGTTTAAATGAGCATACAAAAAATATATATCAAGACAATAAGTAACGTTTGAAAAATAAAAACGATATTTAATCATATATTTACATAAAGGGTGTTTCGCTATGAGATTCAAAAAAGGAATTTGATAATAGTAATCTGAAAATTGAGTAGAATGCTGAAAAAACGGGTTTTCTAACTCGCTAAAAAACAGATTTCCGCTGTGACCTAAGCATTTGTAATCGAAATTGAGGTAGTGTTTTAATATTATTTTAAATCTTCTAAAAATGAGTCGTCTACCGATCCCTTTCAGTCTAACGGACAGCCGTTTCATTGGCACATACCTACAAAATTTAAATATTGGAAGATATTTTGCATAATTGCAAAAAATTTACTACGCTTCGACAAAAAATCGGATTGGCCAATTTCACAAAACCTTCTTCATTGATTAAGCTCTCGGGACCTCCCGAGCGATACGACTACCAAATAGGATTGTTACTAACGTTAGAATTACGTCGTTCTATATTTTATGTAGTTTTTGCAGCCAAATGTGTAAAAATAATAATGAATTATAGCATGTAGTTATTAAATTTTACTTAATTTTTTTAAAATCTAAGTCTTGAATGAAAAAGTTAGTGCCACAAGCGGGATTCGAACCCATGACCTTCAGCTAAGGCCTAAACCTTCGGCTTAGATGAAGGCCCGGGTTCGAATCCCGCTCATGACAGTAAATTTTTCATCTCAACCAAGACCTTAGTTAAAAAGAATAATTAATTGAACTGATTATGACCACTAAACGTATAAGGATTAATTAAATTTTACATTTATTCAATGTTGCATACAACATTGAAACGAAACGTTTCAGAGATTACTTTACTAAAATGCAAACAATTATAGAGTTTTCGCTAATATACCGGAAAAATATACAATTGCAGATAAACAAACTATATTTAACGAATGTAGAAAAGAGAAACATAGAAAGAGAAATTAAAAATTACTAACACATAAAAAATATATTAATGTAATAAATAACGTTAGATTTATAAAACTATATTTAATCAAATATGTTTACATACAGGGTAGTTAACTATTAGATGCAAAAAAGGAATTGGGTAATATTAGCCTGTAAATGGAAAAGGTTAGAATGTTGCGGAAATGGGTTTTATAACTATTGGGTTGTCCGGAAAATAATGCAGGATTTTGGTATTAAACAAAAAAAAAGAAACTAGTTACTTTAAAGCAATGTTCTTTAATCAAAATAATTTCCCATACTCTCAATACATTTCTCCCAACGTGTTGGTAACTTATTAATTCCGTCTGAGTAGAATTCAGAATTTTTAGAATTGATAAAGTCAATAAATGCATTTTCCAGTTCCGTTTGATTTTTGAATATTATGTGTTGTAAGTAGTGGTCCAGGTGTCTAAAAAAATGGTAGTCAGTAGGCGAGAGGTCCGGAGAGTAGGGTGGGTGAGGCAAAGTTTCATAGCCAAGCTCCAATAATTTTTGTGACGTTACACGTGACACATGTGGTCGAGCGTTGTCATGCAACAAAATGGGCCCTTTCCGATTGACCAAAGAGGGCTTCATTACTGCCAATTTCTGATGCATGGTATTAATTTGGTTACAGTATGATTCAGCATTGATGGTTTCGCCAGGATTTAAGAAGCTGTAGTGTATTAAACCAAATGAAGCCCACCATACCGTAACCATTACCTTTTTTTGATGAGTTGGGGGCTTTGGAAAATGTATTGGAGCTTCTCCTTTGTCGAGCCACTGTCCAGAACGTCTAGTGTTATCGTAGAGAATCCACTTTTCGTCACATGTAACAATTCTGGCCAGAAATGGGTCATTTTTGTTTCGACAAAGAAGTGATGCACAAACATCAAAGCGCTGATTTTTTGGCGATCGTTTAATGAGTGTGGAACCCAATTTTCGAGTTTTTTCACTTTTCCAATCGCCTTGAGGTGGTCAGCGACGGTCGTTTTACTGACTTTGAGTTGCTCTGCAAGTTCTCGAACAGTTGTTTTGGGGTTTTCTTCCACCACTGATCGCAGAACATCATCATTAAGAGAGGAAGGCCTTCCACGACCTTCTTCATCTTCAAGGCTGAAATCTCCCTCCCGAAATTTTTTAAACCACCTTTACACAGTGCACTCATTAACACAACCCTCGCCCCAGACTTGGTTAATGTTTCTAGCCGTTTGGGCTCCGCTTCGGCCGAGTTTAAACTCGTAAAAGAAAATCGTACGAAATTCTCGCTTTGACATTATAAGGATGACTGAATTATTTCCAAGTAGCGGAATGCTACAGAGGTAAACAAACAATATCATTTGGAAGAGGATTAATAAGTGTTGACATTCATACAAATGAGTAATCCTGTAAACGTAAACAGAATATTTTATATAGATTTTTTTTAATGAAAACTTAAAATCCTGCATTATTTTCCGGACAACCCAATAATTCCAGACGAATACGTTTTACAAATTTTTCCTCCATTACTTATCCGTTTTTCATCCAAATTGAGCTCGTTTTTTAAAATTACGTTAAATGATCTAATGAGACATCTACTGATCTCTTCCATTCTAAATGATAGCCGTTCCGCTAGCACAAACCTATAAAATGTAAACTTTGGAAGATCTCTGAAGAAAATTCACCAAGTTGTGACAAAATTTCCTAGAGATCGGGGCATTTCACAAAAACTGGTTAATTTAATAAAGTTTCAAATGGTATGCTTACTAGGATCGATACAGTCTTTTGTCGAAGAGTATAGTAGATCCCAAAAATACAGAAAAAACTGAATTTTACAGATTAGAGTTACTATAAAAATTGCGTTAAGCAAATCAAACCGGCTTGAAGCCTTGATTTTACTAATGCATTTCTTTTTGGCAGTTTGTCCTACCATACTCCTCGAAAAAATAATGTACCGAACGTACCACGGATATCATTCGAAAAATTTATTAAATGAAACTGTTGATGTGAAATTGGCCAATCTCTCTCTTTTGCAGCAGCATAGTAATTTTTTGCAATCTTCCAATATTTACATTTTATAGGTTTGTGCCAATGAAACGGCTATCAGTTGGAGTGAAAGGGTTCAATTACTTACTTTTTACACAATTGAACGCGGATTTTAAAGACTACCACAATTTCGAAGAAAAATGCATATGAAATAAGAGAAAATCAGTATTTGTATGCCAAATACATTTTTTCTTGAGGAAAAATCGTACCCTCTCGACGTACTGCGTTAAAATGTTCGTTTCGGCACTGATTTATAATGATTCTTCCGAGATACGGAAAAAAATTTGATTCAAAAAAATAAATAAAAAAAGTTTTTACATTAACGTTGCCAAAGCTATACTAAAGAGTAAAGACCTGTGACACCGATTTGATTCGAAAAATAACCCCAACACCCTACAACAAACTTCGACACGGGGTTTTTATAGATGAGGTGCGTCTTTCCAGAACGACGGTCGTAACGAATGTGTGTGTGTGTGTGTGTTTACGGCATTCCACTCTATTTACAGATTCAAATCATAAATTTGAAAATTCATTTCAAAATTCATAAATAATTTAAAAAAAGAAATAGCAAACATGCCTACAGAAATTATGGTCAACAGTTGTATCGTGCTGTTCATCTTGGTCCGCCTATTCTCTCTATAGTTTTGTCAAGACATCTTTAACGGATGTCTGGCAAACAAAAGTAACAGCGATTATGGTTAAAAGATAAACAGAGGCGATTAACCGCTTCAAACAATTCAATTACTAGACTTATTATAACAAAAAATTTAACAACCATCGATAATATAAAACTTTAAGAAATGATTAAAGATAACTATTTAACAGTAACTAAGCATATTTAACATTATAGCTTTGATTTCAGAATTGTTTGTGATACATCATTATGAGGGTGTATAGAAAACCTGATTAAAAACGTATCTATCAGCCTATTTTTGTGGGGGTCTTTTATTGGTGGTTGCTGGAGCAGGGTACTTTTTAGAACCCTTCCTTCTCACGGTCGTTAGTATCGGATGGCAGTCCCAGCCCCTAATTTATCTCCCAACTGGATATCAACCCCTCCGAACTGCTAAAGCGAAAGAATAAATATCACAGGGAATTTAGCAAATACTCGGCAAAATATACCAGTAAATTCAAACAAATCGAAATTTCCGATGTCAAAACAAAGTCTTCACAGTTTTAAAACTTTTAATAAGTCTATCAACTACTTAAGGTAATAAAGACACATAATTTTATTTATTGGATTGTAATTTAAGAGGTTATTTCCAAACTCAACCTATCAAGCTTATAAAATTTCACTTCAATTTTTTTTGCGTAAACATTTATATTAAACAAACATTTCGCATGAAATTGATTTGAACTATGTAGCTATCATACATTTGGATGGAAATAATAACCAAGGAATAAACGTATCTCCCAGTTTAAAGCTACTTTGATTTTAAGATTCCGCTGGATAGCTTTCGAGAAAGCTACAAAAAAATGCTCTACTCGGGTCACGTCCACTACCCTTCTTCTCCACATCTTTCTGTTACTCCTAAATACGGCTTCACCCTTCCATTAATCTCTTCGGGTGAAGTTTGAAGTTCCCAACTAAAATATAACACAATTGAAAGATTAATTCAAAACAAATTTATTTTTAAAATTATTTTATTCGCAAAGGTATGAAATTTAGGATACCTAATTAATAAAATAATAATAAAGAGATACCTAATTATTTAAGTATATATTTCTTGTAAAAAAACGTCGATACATGCAAAACTAATTAATCAATGCAAAAACAAAAGTAGAGCATGCAACCAAAATCTTTTTAGAAAATAGAAACTTTAGAAGAAGCAATTAGTAATGAGTAAATACAACATCTTATCAAATTTATGAATGATTTGTGAATATTTAGGAGCTGGTATTCCTCTCCACAAAACGACCACAGGGAAACTTGGCGGACTTCCAATAAAGACGACTTTATTCTTCTTAATGAAGACAAAGTAGCGACAATAAACGGCCTAGGGATGATGTATACTGATCAAACTGCTGACAAATAAAGTTGTAAACCACAGTTCACGGTGGTGTTAAATATGAACAACTAAAATGATGTTAAACTGGATACAATGTATGAAAATTGGAAAGTATGTTAATTTGTTTTAGTTGAATTTTAATAATTCCACAAGCTTGACGTAATATTCTTTTTAAAAGCATACATTTCCAAAGATATTTAGATTAGCAAACTTTTATAAGCATTAATCATTTCGCGTTCAAACCAACTTCCTCTCCCTTATATCATTATCAGTCTAGGTAAAGGAACCAGGAATAAAAATCATCCCTATATTTGAATATTTAAATATATAAGATTAAATAAACATACAAGTAATCTAAATATAATTTAAGATTTAGAAATACTGAATAATTGATTTCGGCTAAAAGAGTGAGGATTCCCACGGAAAATTTCACCCTTCGGTCCTTGCGCCGGAAACAACGCGGCCTTCAGTAAGTCCGTTACCCCTTTCTTCACATCCGTTAGGTCGGCATTAGGAAAAAATATGTGTAAGAAAAATAAGAATTGAGAGTTTCAGAAGTTTTATTAACGGTACGCAGCACGAAGTAGAGGGTACGCTCTTTTTCTCAAAGACCAAGTCCGCTTAGACTAGCGTGTTTTGAAGTTTATTTTTTTAAAATGCACATCCGTTTTCTACGACCAAAATCAAAAATGCCCAAATCTAGAATAAAAATGTTAAAAAATCGTACTTAAACTACAAACTACAAAGGTAGCAAAAGTGGTCAACAACTAGGGCCCATCAAAACGCACTTTTATAATTCCACCAGAACTCAACATTAATCATTCAATATTTCCGATAAATTTTTTTTAGATTTTTTGTCCTATGTAAAAACCTCAAATAACTTTATAGAAGGAGACTAAGTGCCTATCGTACAAAATTGTTTTGTTTTTTTCAAGCAAAAATTTTAAGAGTATTTGTTTAAATAAAATTTTGGTTCGAAACCAACAATATACAGATTATCCATAATGCAAAATAAGACCACAAACTTCCTTAATGTTTTTAATTACATCTGCCGTTCATTAATAGATTAGGTCAAAAATCCAATAAGCAAAACTCTAAAAAATTGCACACGTGTTTAAGAACGTGGGCCCAGAGAACATGAGAACTTACTTTCACGATTTCCCCAAACCGAAAGAAATTATTAGCGGATAGTTCGTTATTGCCAATTAACTTCCTTTCAAATTTCTCTCCATGTTTTTAATTTTTGTTCTTTTTCAACGAAATCTACCCGTGAAATGATGGTATTAGCTTTAAACAAATAGAAGTATGTATGATCAGTAAGGATGTAGAGATCTACCATTAATCCAATACAAAAGTATGTACATCGGGGATGTGGCCAATAAAAGATAACTTATAACTTATAAGTTTGTCAAGCTTTGGGCGTATGTATTTCGTCTTCCTCAGGGCACAACAAAAAAACTAAACCTGCAAGTTTGCTTATTTTTCGTCATTCATTCACTCTTACAAATAAATAGACCTCAAGAAAATATCCCACAATATATAAAACCGGTTAATGTGAAATATTATGTGTAAAAAAAACTATTAAGTACATTAGAAGATAAATGAATTAATAGCTAATCATGATGTGATTATATCAGCTTTAATATTATAATTGAATATAATCATGGATACGGTGAAATTGATAGGAAGTAAAACAATCAATTCCTTCTTCAAGCTTTGATACCTCTTGTTCCACGACTTTGAAACTATCATTTACACGAATAATATAGTAAAATATTCATCTGGTACAAGACATAACTGTTAATGTGGTAAATGGATGTTTTTTCTCTTTTAAATTCGCCTTATCCCTGAGATTTTATGTTCAATTAAATTAATAACATCACTACTGTTTTTGTTTTAGTCGACTGTATTAGATGCAATTTTTGTTGTTTGTCCAAAAGTCGACTTGGAAAAAAAAGAGATCATGGAGTTATTTTCAATATTTTTGTTAGAATATCATGAGAATTTGTAATTCCAATTCAATTATTGTCGTGTCTAATTATTTTCAATTTATTATTATTGATGTTTGCATGTTTAAAATTGCAAACGCAAGTTGAAAGATAATTTTATTAGTAAAAAAATGTAATACTGTATCATTATGCATTTACGGAATTATTGTAGATATTTAAACCATTTTTTCTCAATTATTGTGCTTTATTTTTTTAAATAAGGGTTTAATAACAATAATGGAAATAATGAAAATCGCGATGAGTAAAAATTCATTATCAGTAACCAGTCGGTGATGAAAAAAAATCATTCCGAATAAATTTATCAGATAGGTTTTTCACGGTTCGCCTAGCCTCGCTCAGTTACTTAACTTGATAATAATTAATTAAATTTTCCTGTTGTTCCTAGTGTACTATTAAAAAATTTCTGGTAATAAATTTAGAACTACGGGCATTCTGATTTAGGTTGAGTAGGAAAAAATAACGAAACAGAAAAGCATTCGATACACAGACTGCTAGATTTTTTAATCAATAAACCAAAATCATACATAAAACGGATAGATTTATAGGTTTATAAACGTAAATAAACATTTTGGGCTATTTTACCTAACCACAATATATAGGGAAATTCATGAAGGAATAAATTTTAATTAAATCCTAGTATCACAGTAGGTTTTTGTGTTTGAGTGATTTTTATTAAGCTTTTTGGAAAAGGTTAAAACAAAATTAAATTGTATGTTTGATTTGGTAACGTATTTGAATGCAAAAATTGGATAAATACATACTGGATAAATGAAAAAATAATTAATTGATTTAAAGAATGAAAACAGGCTGATTGAAATGACAAGAACTTGAAAATGGACAAAAAAATTAATAACGAACTTGGGAATTTATATAATAAATAATTAATTTATTAGGAATGAAGTTTTACCAAGAATAATTTTTTTTTGCAAACCTGTGCGTGAAAATTGTGGAAATAAAAAAAATATACACAAATATTTATAACGATCCAATCCGTAAATATTTCAAACTGAATAATTTTTTGTTGAAATAAATTAATGACCAATCTTTTTTACGTTAAATAAATATTTATGCAATACATATCTTCATATCGATTTTACTTTTTTCAACAGTACTTATTCAGATATCGTGAGATGCGGTCGCATCTCACGATATCTGAATAACTATCGATTAACGGTCACTAATCTCTACACATTTCAACAGTACTTTTAATGTATAATAATTTAAAGTTTAAATATCGCATGGTATTTTCAATTATTTCTTCATATTAAATAAAGGATAAAATATCAATTTAAAAATATTTAAAACAAAAGTACTTGGGAAAAAAATACGAAAGCTGCCAAAAATTAGCTACCAACATTCATCGATTTAAGCAAAAAATAATAATTTGTTGACCAAACGAACTTATAAATATTTAATTAATTAATAAGGCATGAAGTTTCATATTTATTTATTTTTGTTACTGTGGGCTTGAAAATTAACACAAAAGTTTCAAATATTTTTAACGATGAATAAATATCCGGGTAGAAATTCATAAATATTCACGGTTCTTTTATTGTAATAATTAATTATTTATAGCTAAATAAAGCTTGTACAACACATATTTTCATATCGATTTTTCGGGTTTTCTACTGTACTTTTAATGCATAATCATCTATTGTTTAACTATCGCACAAATATGCTGTATAAAACTATAGATTTATATTAAATAAAGTTAAAATATAAATTTAAAAATATTTAAACTTATGTCCTAACAGGAAAAAATTAGGAATACTACAAAAAAATATTTCCACGATTTAAATAAAAATAAGAAAAATTAATTTGTTGCAAGAAAGGACATACATAATACATTAATCAATTAATAGTCTCTTACTGTAAATTTTCAATTTTCAAAAGGATTTTAATTTGATTTTTGTCACAGCTTTTTTATTTTTTTAACGGAAATTGTGGCATATTTAATTGCATGTTTCATTACTATTACTGGTAATTTTTATTTTATTTTATTTATGTTTTTATTAATTTAAAAATGTGATTGTTGTTGTGGGAAGAAAGTGATTCTTTGCAACACTTTACAAAGACAAAAAAATAAAAAATAACGAAACTTACCGGATCGTTCAAAGGCAATTCCATGATTGCCCTTGGGTTAACTTGTTGATGGGCCGCAGATCTGGCAGAGGAAGACGGCAATGCGGTGGCGGCGTCGACGCTGCTCACTGAGGAAGACGCGAGATCGATTCCACAGAATGCGAAGCACAGACACAACGCGTTACAGATCAAAACAAAACATGGCCAGGAGAGATGTCCGACAGCCCTCCGTCCGATTGAGGTTACAGAAACTAAACCAGCACCGACCGATGCCAGCTGCTGTTATGAAACCTCTGCTCACACGCATTCTGTAGGCAGCATGCTGAAACGGGCATAGCCGCCACTTGGAAACCTGTTCATTCACCAGTCCTGACTACGCTACCTGCTACGTGCTAAAGAATTCAAGGCTTAGCTACAAATTTTAGCGCATTATGCTTTCATAGGGATTCTTCATAAAATCTTTTTTTTTCCTCAACCTTTAAAACCTTAAGCAACTCATCAGCTTTATGTTTCAAAGGCAGAAAATTATGTATCCTACTTGTATTGAGTCGAAAATTTTGTTGGTTGTATACTACCAATTTTAACGTTGTCTATGCTTCAATTACATAGGGTAGGTGCAAAATGAATTGAGTAATAAATTTGTAATTATAGTAGAATGCTGCGAAAAAGACGGGTTTTCTTACACACAACGTCGAGAGGATAGGATTTTTTCCAGAAAAACGGATTGTCACATAAAAGACTGATTTTCTGAAAGTAGGAAATAATTAATAGAAAAAGTAATCATGCATTCTAAATGAACATTAGGGAATAGGGTAACAAAAAACATACGCAAGTAGAAAGTAAGAATTTCCAAAAATTAAGTTTTATTGACTGAAAAGAAGACATTCTCAAACTATTATTTACCACTTCTAATTTATAAAACAAAACACTTAATTAATTAACATTTATTGACTGAATACAAGTTGAAAACCTATTATAAGCCATAATTAAATTTTTAATCTTATACTGAAATAGTTGGAGATTTAATGGGAAACCACAATAACACAAATATTTTTAAAAAGTATTTTAAATAACACAACGACCTAGAAGAAAGTAACCGAAATTTCTTGAATTTATTCAACATCCAAAATTAAAAAACTTAATCATAAAATGTCTAAAAACAATTAAAACAGAAAAAGAATAAAAATGCCTGAGTAGTAGAATTCATTCGTATTCAAAGCATGCAACATCAAAGACTAAAAGTTCCATATACCAATTTTGAATAAAAAAAGAAATCATTAAAAAAACATCATCACAACGTATACGTAACAGTGCAGTTTTTCTAATTTCCCTGAAAAATATACTATAAGTATATATAAAAAAAAAAGAGTTCAACAAATAAAATCGATAATTTCCAACCTCAGATCTTGACAAGGCCGAAGTTTAGTAAGGATTTTATTATCATGACGCGTCAGACTTCCGTGACAGTTTCTGGTGTGTTGGCTCAAGAAAACCACGGAATAACGAAACCCATAGCCATCACTTTAAGAGTGTTAAACAATCTACAATGAAATTATAGTGTATAGCATTTGCTGTCATACATACAATCGAACACTTCCACATGTAAGTGCATTACAAGAACTTTCATATTCGTACAGATTGTTCTGCATGAGCGTGGTTTTTGAAAAATATAGTACATATTTCCGTGCGTTCGACAAGATGGATGGACTTCTTGCCAAGTTACCAATACTAAGTAAAACACGTTCCTGGACGTTTTAATTGTATAGGAGATATGTTGTCTAGGCATCTAGGAAGACGAAAACATTTGCCCGATACAGTAACGGCAGAAGTAGATAGATTGATCAGAGATGGAATTGTATGCATTCATGAAATTAGCGACATGGCCTGGTTCAAGCCCTACTGAACTGGAAAGAAGGAGAGCTTTCGTCAATAGTTGTAGACCAACCGATGATAAAACTGTATGAAGATTTGTGTAGAGATTAATGATCGTTAATCGATAGTTATTCAGATATCGTGAGATGCAGTCGGGTGTGATGTAGGTTTCAGAAAAACATTTTCTTTATCGTGCCAACGTTTCGATCTTTTATTGAGATCATCTTCAGGGCTCAAAGTGTTTGTCTTCTGTGTAATTGTGCCATCCTTGCGTGTCATATGTATGTAGATTTTTTGGGTCCCTGCCAACATCATCCTGAGGAAATAAATACGTATTTTTGGCTCTAGATGCATTTTCTAAATTCCTTTGGGCGATAACTACAAGAAACTCTAGAACTCAAGAAACAGCTAAAACGGTGATAATACGTCTAAAAAAATACTCTTTTACTCAAGATGGAATATGTAAAATTATTGTACAAGACAATAAATACAGCGGACAAAGGTATGGAATACAAATCCTTTTGTTTCAATATGCGGATAAGTTACCACCTGGATAAAGCATACTATCCACAACGCAATAAAGTCGAACGATGCTTTTGTCATTAAAACAGCCATAGCTGTACATCATTCCTCGAAGCAGAAGAAATGCGAAAATTCATTACCGTTCATTATTATGACATTGAATAATGCTGAACATGAATCCACAAAGTATACTCCGGTCCAGATATTCTAAGGAAGAGTATCTCTTCATTTGAAGGTTTCAATGAACGATACGTTGTGGAATGCAAAAACAAAGGAAGAGATGGATAATGTGTAGTATGAGACCTATAAGAACTGATGAGTGCCAAAATAATAAAAAAATGGTTCTTATTAAGTCGCATTATTTATCGCGAAAGTGTATAAACGTAGAGCAAAATTAATGTCAGTTTATCATGGCCCATTCCGGAGTCAGTTATCTAATGAGTAAACCGGAGTTCAGGATACGCTCATATATCCCAACTAAAAAAAGTAAGCCAGCCGAGGAACCCGGCTTGAAAAAATAAATATCTACTTTTGCTCTCCGTTGATAATTTATTATGTATATATTTTTTATATAATGAATGTATACAATATTATACACAGATGAGTCGTTTACCCGATCTTTAAAACCCTAAAGTATGGGTAAAAATAAATAAATAAATTGACACAATTAAAAAGACTACTTTTGAACCGTTTTTGTAGGAATAGTAAAGAAAAATCTTGTACTAGTTCAATGATTAATTGCATGCTTACCTAGGATGGCACAAAACTGGACTTCCGAGCTCAATGCCGAGCTTAAAAGGTGTTGCTACCTAGTGTCCCCGCATATGAGGTAAATGCCAATATTCTACTTTTTTTAACAATTTTAGCACGATTTTACAAGGTTTTTCCTTATATCCGTACTTTAAACAAAAACCTCGTAAAACCTATTTTTTTTAACTGCTAGTAAGTCTCTAGTTAATATTTTGATCGCGATCAACGAGTAATATTTCATTTTGTTTCAAACGTTACAATACAATGATTATACTGTGACTGGCACTCTCAACACGACAAACAAGAATGACACACTTCTACAAGGAAAACAAACAATTTGAGCCCTGAAGATGATCTTAATAAAGATCGAAACGTTGGCACGATAAAGAAAATGTTTTTCTAAAACCTACGTCACACCAGGCAGCATTTCCCATCATTAACTAACGGTCACTAAACACCACACACACACACACACACACACACACACACACACACACACACACACGTTACAATACAAGATTTACAGTCCAAATCGTTATCTAAATTCGTAAATGTGTTTATCCAGGTTGTCCCTGTCCTATTTATTCTAAAGAAAAGGGATTTTGTCAAATATAGTAACCCCGTTTCTTATTCTTTAGCTTAATTTTTGAGGATTTGTTTTAACGCCGTAGTAATACGTACTTGATACCAACTCATTTTTCATACTGAGACCTACATCTAAAATATGTCACGAAGATCAGTAAGATTATTGACAATAAGAGGGAAAATGTCATTGTATAAAGAATGTGTGCTATTTGCTATTAAATTGTCATTTCATTCGTTAAATCAACGTTGCATTAAAATAATTTGAAATGCTTAACCAGCCTACACCTACACCAATGGAGTAAACATGTTTTAACCATTTTTCTTGTGCACTGAGCGAAATATCAGTAAACCTGGAAGGATCAGATACCTACTACTAAAGGTACATATAAGTGAAATTGGTAAGAATTGAAATAATAGAGGATTTCATATACAATATTGTTATTCTTGCCATTGTTATTTATATATGGTAAATTCTAAACGTTTTAGGTTGAGATGAGGAGTTGGTGTCCGCGTGGATAGCTCTAGCACACACGATAGCTCAAGAGGTTAGAGCAGTGGCGAATTGAGCCGAAGATCGAATCTCGCTCGTGACACTAACTTTTTCATTTCGACCAAAACCTTGAACATTCCTAGTCGATCTCTTCAACTCAGCATCGCTAGTTGTTTCTGACGAAAACATGGAAATCTTGGTATTGCCTTCTTCCTGGGTTTCTTCACATCACTATCATCTGGATTTTTAAATGAGGGCATGGAGGACCTCGAAAACCCGTAGATTAGTAAAATTGTAATAGTGGGCCATATAGTTAACGTTATGAGACACTGGTCTTCCACGCTGCCAAATCAAATGGACCACCTACACCAACATATTTGCATTACATTGCATAGGATTACCAGACACTATTATGCGGTCTTTTTAGGACAAAGGGTTTTATTATACGACATTTATTATATTGAACCAATTGTTTAATGCAGCTAGCTCAGGTTAGCAGTTTGGCCACTCGCAACGCGGCGACAATCTACTGATTTGACAAGAGTTGGAACGTTCGTAGGTAAATATTGGGCGCTACGTTCATTTCGATATAATGTAAAAAAAACATAGTGAGTAAGTGATAACAAGATAAAAAATAAATAATGGCACCATTATATTCAACTAAATGCGAAAGAATCCGAGGCTATCATCAGTCATCACTGTCGGTTATTATTTTTTCTCTAGTTTTTCTATCTCATTTTAAGAAATACTGCAATGCGCGGGGAAAAGACCAAAAAGCGCCCAATAGCGGGTTAAGATTTAAATTTATAGTAGAACTAAACGCCAAACCATTTTGAAAAACCAAATCTTCACATAAGTTACATGTGAGTTAAAAAAAAAAAAAAAAAAAAAAAAAAACACTTTCCTGTAAAAGGAACTATCCTTTTAAATAAGTTACATTTGTCAGGAAAATGGCGACGTTTGTAGATAATTATTTTAAACGTAAGATTCACTTTCAATTAATTATTCTTTTTATGTAAGGTCTTGGTTGAAATAAAAAAGTCAGTATCACGAGCGGGATTCGAACCAACGACCTTCGGCTAAATACGCCGCTGCTCTTCCACTTGAGCAATCGTGACTTCGATCCTCACGGACACCAAATCTCCACTCAACCTACAACCGTTCGAATTTTCCCTCTTTTTGCCATTTTCAATTTTTTTTAACTCAACCAAGACCTTACATAAAAAGAATAATTAATTGAAAGAAGTAACTTGGTCTATTGACCAGTAAAACGTAAATGGAGTAAGATTCACTGTAATTTCAAATGTATATGCAAATTTTTTCACATAATACTTTATAAGAAACGTTTTTCTTTGTGCGGAAGAAATGGATATGAAATTAACAGAAACGAGTTTTTCAACTAAATTCTTTCTTAAGAAACAGTATCTCTAAAAGTGAAAGCACAATTGGATAGACTTCACAAACTTACGATATCGGCTTAATTGTTTAGTTAGTTATTTAATCGAACACAATTCACGGTATGCCAGTCGATAGATATTTGAGATACTCATCGTATCACAGGTAAGTGCAGTTTCCACTTTACAGAAACTTTGTTATGTTAGCCGTCGACGAACTTACATTGCTGATGTAAACGAACAATGCATTTTAATAATATTAATTCGAAGAAAAGTATGGCGGAAGTGAAGTGAAGTATTAGACCTGGATGAAATAAATATACATGCACAATTTCAATGCTTCACACAAAGTTGTACAGATTGGAAAATTAATGCTAATTTCCACTGCTACTTGCTATCGAAACTGTCTATTCCATTAAAGCTGTTGCAAGTTGATTAAAAGAAAGCTACGAAGTAAGAAAAAACGTCCTGTAATGAATAGACATTAAGTATTTCTCTTCCATGACAGCACTGGTCCCATAAATCGACGGTGACGCGGAAAAATTGACGCAATTGTGTTGGAAGTGTATCACTTATTTACCGGACTTGGCGCCTTCAGATTATTATCTATCTGAGAATGAAAAACAAAATAATGAAACTGGATGACAGATTTATCAATAAAACCCCATTACATGAGCGTAATTGCATAAGGTTTTAACAAAAAACAATCAGTACTTTTGAACAAATGCTACATTTAAATTGTTTTAATTCACATAGGGAAAATTTTAAAGGGGAGACTTCGAATGATCGAATTTCAGTAGATTCGAAAATGGTGACATGAGTCAAAAACGAGAATATTCAGATCGGCATTTACTTGTACACAATTTTTTTCTCCTTGCATTACCTCTTAACCATTATAATCTCCATATCATTAATATTAGCCTTCAATATTATAATTGTTTATTCCAAATCAGGGAAGCAAAGCAAAGAAAACTTTCAATTTCCTTCCTAAAGCTTTCGAGGAATATATCCCCTTTGCCAGGACTTATTAGGTATTATTAATAATTTACATGGTTAAGAAACATCATTATTTAAGAAACGACTGGTTGGAAACCAATAATGATTTTCACCTCTTCTCACGCTGAATGAATGTACTTTTTTAAATTGTGGTTTATGATTATTCAGAAATCGTGAGATGCGGTCTGGTGAGATGTAGGTTTCAGAAAATCATTTTCTTTATCGTGCCAACGTTTCGATCTTTATTGACATCATCTTCAGGGCTCAAAGTGTTTGTTTTCTGCTTAAGTGTGCCATTCTTGCGTGTTATGTTGAGAGTGCCCTCTCAGAGTTAGACCGCATCTCACGATTTCTGAATAATCATCGACAAACGGTCACTAATCACCACACATTGTGGTTTATAAGAATTTCTTTAAGAGATTTCTCTGTGTCATGTAATTGGTCGTTTTTTTATTTATCATTTATGCTTAAAAACGAAAAAATCAAAATCTTCACAGACCCAAAACTGATGATCATGAAATATCATCTGACAGACCCAACACAGTAAGCATAGGCAGGCCTAAATGATCGGTAATAACCAAATTACTTAATCATTTATTACGTCTGTTAACTTATTAGACTAGCCTTTTTTTATTTATGTTGGCTTTTAGGCTAGTCAATTTGAAAGCATGATATTGCATTATGTCAGTTTCATTTTAACAATTATGAAACTACACACACAAATTCACACTTTTTAAATTGCCTAAAATTATAAACAAGCCATCCTTATGCCAGTTGGCTATTTTATATTTTAGCAATTTTTTAAAGACTGCCTGTGTTCTTTTTTACATCCATTTAGCTAACATATTTTAATTAGAGATCCCACAAGACTTTTATGGGAAGACATGGTCTGCACCCCATCCACATACTAACATAGATGTTCAGAGACTGGGCACTTAGAGTTTACAATTTCTGATTTCTTCAGTTAAGAGTTGAAGAGGATGTCCTCCTTTTTTGTTGGTTGATTGCCTTTCAATTGATTAATTTGGAAAAATAAATAATGATCTGTTTCAACCATTTTTTTCCCAACCATTTCAACCACTAATGGTTGAAGCTTATTTCTTTGTCTGAATCAGACATAGTGAAGGAGTGATTTTATCTTTGCTGAAAATTCGATACTCTATGTAAAGCATGGTGTGAACAGGAACTGTGAATGTTGTAAAACATTATTTAGTCCAAGCATATCACTTAATACACATCCTTGCAATAGTTCTTATTTTTTAATGTATTGGGAGGTCAACAAGTCTCATCATTTTACTTGAAAGGTCCATCACTCAACTGTTTTTTATTATTCATTTAAATGAGTGTATTTCAATTAGAACCCAGAACCTTTACCTTACAGTGATGAGCTCTGAGTTAATGCCTAAACCATTGTAAAGTTGTAAACACAAGAATTACTACAGCCAACAAAAAGAAAATATTATGTAAAGATAAAAAAGAAAATCATCTTTAATATTATATATTTACCATAAAAAATATAACATATTTACAATATCACATGTTTGCATCACATTTCACATTTGATTAAACATCAAAATTAATTCTTCTTCATAACTGCCATTAATAGCTTCAACTATATTTTTCAACTTAATTTCCATCATGAAGAGCTTGGTTTCCATTGGCCTGAATGGCGATGGCTTTTTTACCGAATTACAAATGCTGCTAATTGTGTTTTTAAAATCATCTACAATATTTTGGATTGAATTAGACTTGGTATTTAGCCAAGTCTGTTCATTGATCCATTCGAGCAAATAAGGAGGGATTTGTTGATTTAATATCGATTTGTTTGTTTTTACAACCTCTGACAATTTATGGCAAGAAACATAGTTTATGAAAACTTCTTCCATGTAACAATTTCGATCGCCTTTATCAAAAACTCGATCCTGGAAAAAATTTATCGTGTAACAATATTTTAATTTAAACACACACAAATTTTTTTAAAAGTTATTTTACCGAGTTTTCATCAATGTATACTTCCTCGAGACTGCAATCGCCTAGCGCCCAGGTTAAAAGTAAACAAGCAATGACAATTTCATCACTATAACTACTACACAGTTCACAGAAGAAATTTTCAAGTGTACTTAGTTCATTTGAATTATTTCTCCTTCTTATTACTTCTTCATCATCATTTAACAATTTCAATTCTGTATTTAATATAATAAATGCTGAAAATAAAATACATTGACAGTTCATACAGTTTTTGCTAAATCAATCTATATATTATTCAAACTTTTAATTTACCGTTTGTAGGCTGGGATTGTTTAACAAGATCTTTGAATTGATCATTAAACAAAAGCATGACAGATTTCCTGCTTTTAAAATCTGCATCACAGTGAGAATATTCTTTAACAAGATTACAAACTATGTTAAAATCACTTTTAGTGATTGTGAATATATTGTCCTAAAATATCAAGGAAGGATTAAGGAATTTTATCAAAAATATTAATACTTGTAAAATGTACAACTGTAATATAAGTCCATAGCATTTTTCAATAATTCAATTGTATCTCTTTTGTGCTTTGAAGCAATTTTTATTTAATCATTATCATTTACACTCTGAAGATGCATTATGATGAAAAATAGTGATTTTATGACATTTAAAAGAGGGTTTTTAATAAAGCAAAGTGAAAAGCAGCTCAGATTGTTAGAATATTTGTGATGTGTATGTTGACGAATAATGAATGACACTTTAAGAGAAAGCACCATTTGTAAGTGGTTTGCTTGGTTTAAAAGCAGAAATTTTGATTTGGAAGATGCAAAGCGACTCTCTGGTCTTCCTTGAACCGTTGGTGAAGCATAATTAGGTGATGACCAAATATCAGCTTTATAACAAATCTCCTACACAACAACACGAGATACCTCAGAGCCAGTCAACATACCTCCTACAAGCATTTTAACTCATCTAGGAGCAGCTGGATAGTTTGCCAGAAGAATACGTGGGTTTCTCATATGTTGACGTCGAAGGGTTTATTGTACTACAATGCTAACGACCCATTTTTGTAAAGATTGATAACCAACTCCAAAACATGGATTATATCCCAAGTTGATGTGCATTATCTTGGATTGGAAGGGGGTGATTTTGTAAGAGCTTCTTACACCATTCAAACCATTAATTCTGGCAGATACTGCACACATTTGGAGCAATTAAAGTCAACAAGGGACCAGAAATAACCAGTACTAGCTAATTGCAAGGAGATTGTTTTACAAACCTCTAACCTCTGCAAATCTCTATTAACAGGAAAAAGTCTTCATTTGATGACTGCAGAAAATACATCAAGGAGTTCATTGCTCAAAAATCATTGAAGTTCCGGGAGGGCAGAATTTCAAATTTACAAAGAAGATGGCAATAGGTAGTGGAACAAAATAGTTTATGTACTTGTGATTAAATTTGTTTACAAGTATCTGAATTGAATTTACCATCAAAAACACTACAGACTTATTTTATGATATTTACCTTATTTCTTAGGAAAGCCATGATGCAATCCAATGAAAGAGCACCGACTGATTCTGGCTCATCATTACAAACATTTTGTAAATATTCAATTACAGTTTGATTATTTTTCTCCCCAATTAGTAAAAATGATTCTGGTAGACATTTAATCGCTTTTAGAATAATCTGTTTGTCTTCATGATGGCTCCTGGTTTCAAGCATATCTACCACACTCATTGCTAACTTCTCATAGGAAAGAAGCTCCTCTTGCAGTTCGCAATTTAATTCAAAACTGTCCAGTTTCAGAGGATCCATATCATTAATATCTTTATGTTCAAACAAATTATTTCCCTCCAAAATAGTAATTATAAATTGGAATGATACATGCATTACAATATATTCTGGATGGTGGATCAAATATGTGACTTTCTCTGTTAGTAATTTTGCAGATTTTCTCTTGTAATACAATGTAATTAAAAGAATTACACAGTGAGTTAGGTAACCACTGCACCCAAAGTCGGGAAAAACGAGGTCAATTATGCTATCAGGGCAAAACAAATTCTGCTCTAAAATGCCAAAAAGTTTGTTCCAATGTTCCTTTGAAATGGTTTCATAGAACAGTAAAGCAAATTGGTACGCAATTTTCAAGCAACATTCTTTTACTGTGTAGCAGTGCCTTCCAGATTCAAGAGTATGGAGGAGTACAAGCATCCAAACATGGATCCTACGTTGCACCATTTCAATACATTCTGCTGGCATATGCCTGATAAGTTTAAGAACCTGAAATTTATTTGTTTATTAAGAACAATAAAATCAAAAGAACAATTGTAAAAGTTTTATAATTAACCTGTAAAAGCAAACCATGGGATAAATTCTCTTTTCTAGAATTGTATATATCTTCGAAACATTTGTCAATGTGTTGAACAAAATTGTTAGGAGTTATAAGTGCAACGATAGCAAATGCTGCTAGAGACCTTGTTTTTAAAATAGGACTTGAAGCACACTTAGATACAAGCGGAATGTAATTATTGAGCTAAAAATAAATAATCATATACATGTTTTATATAGTACAATGAATGATAATTATTGTTTTATACCTGTAAATTAGAATCAGTTCCTTCAAGGGAAGATGGATATAATCTTCCAAGAATCAATAATACAGGATTGATAGCAGGGTATAAATATGATTTTGCCGCTGCTTCTAAGTGTTTGTACAGTACATCAAATAACATTGGATACTTCAAAAAGAAAATCCTTCCAGTCATTTTGTTCTTCCAGCTCAAATTTTCTAAATCGCTGGAACGAGGAACACCAAAAATTCTTGTAACCAGCGCACTTAGCAATAAAGTGGATGAATTTCTCTCCTAAAAAAATGTGATTATAATGTAAATAAATGAATATCATTGGCTCAGAACTGGAAATACTTACAGCCCATGTGTTAGAATTAAACCCATCGATTGCAACAGCTAATCCCTTGTCGACATAGGGACTGACCATTTCTCCAAGTAGACTGTGTCGAAAAAGAGCTCTTAAAATATTCAAGGAATGTGCTCTTGTTTCAACTGTGCTTTGCTTGTTTTGAGCTAATTCGAGCAAAGTTTGAATCCCTCTGTGAAAGCACTTTCCACCTCCTACATCCAACTCAGTACAAACTAGACCCTTTGAAGTTTATTTAAATATAGAATTTTAGACTAAAACAATGATTTTTTTCAGATTACCTGTACAATAAATGGAATTCCAGCACTACGCCTTGTGGCACTAAGTTCTCCATTTGTCGATATCTCATTTAACGTTTCATCCATCCATTTACAAGGAAGCTGATGAAGGTTGCCTTTGGGGTATCTAAGAACATAAATAGACCAAACATCAATTTGCTTATTTTAAATGTGAGCTCTACATTTAATACCTCCACAATCTTGAGGCTAGCTTGCAGAAGCCTACATAGGCCTGTTCAAATGCCCCTCTGTGCTTTGTTTCTGAAAGAAGCCCTGTTAAGTGATCGCCAATGCTCAAAACCTGATCTTCACTGATAAGCCCGCTAAATTCTTAAGTCAGATATAATTACTATAATGTATAACCAATAATGATGGGCCTAATTACCCTCAGATGAAATAGGTGCATTTTGAGCGAGTTCACCTAGAAGGAGCGATACTTCTTTAACAGTCCTCCAACAGCACAAGAGTACCATTTGTGAAGTTACATGTGGCATTTCTTCATCACTGCCTAGCTGGCTCACATCTAAATCCAATTAATTATAATATGAGATTTCTCCATGTAGTCTGTGGGGTAATGTACCTGAAGTTTGGTCATTACTGATCATTTTGGGCTATCAGATGAGCTGGGTCTGCCCAGAATTTAGAGGATAGGCTGATCAAAATGATATTTAACAACCAAACTACAACTTTTTAACTGCTTTGAAATAATTATTATTAACACTAAATTAGATTATATAGGAGCAAGCCTAGTATTGGTCTATTGTGTATCTCCAATTTTTATCTAGAGCTCCTCATTAAGCTTGACTTTTACCAGACCCGAAGCTTTTTCAGTATCCTTCAGGCCCTGGCTTTTCCTCAATTAGGATTAGAAATCTCAGCCTAAATAGGCCTTCGAACCAACAGAGGACATGTTCCGCTGTTTCGTCTTCTTGTTGGCAATATCTGCAGAGGCTTTTTCTGCCACTCAGAGTCTATACATAAGCCTCCTGAGTCTGTCATTATCACTTACCATAATCGAAATCCATAGGGAGCATTCCCTCAGGAGATGAATTGTTTACAACAAACGCAACTGTTTTGTCACATTCAAAAGTTGTTTGAATTATTTCATTGGTGAGTGCTTTCCAACATTCATCATCTTGAACTGTTCTATAAATGTTTTGGAATATTATTAAAAGAAAGCAAAAGATTTTTACTGAGAACTTACTTAAAATTAACTTCGTGGAAAATATGCCTGATCACAAATATAAGTCCGTACATTGGTCCTGAGCAAGAAGCTTTGAGCAAGCTCTTTTTGGCTAATGTTAACTCGTTTTGTAATTGATCCAGTAAGAGCTTTAAACAAATGTATGCTCCCAGCTCCTGCCTGTCAAAGATATTTAATAATACAAAAAATAAAGGATTTAGTTTTGGATAATTCTTACTTCAAATTTGGAATTTGGATTGCATTTTCATATTCTTTTTTTAAGATGTCATCAACTGTTGGAACTGAGATCAAAAGACTCACAAAATATGCTGCTGATATACTATCCGGTGGCCTTATACTAGATGCCAAAGATATGGAATTGCTCAAAAAAGATTTCACATATGCCTCATCCTAAAATGTTTTATTATTTAAACCAAATAAGAAAAGAATAATTAAATGAATATTTACATCCAATTTGAGCATTTCTAGTGGTAATTTCAGGAGTAACTTTTTTGCTAGAGCTTTATTTGCTTCATATGAATCAAGAAGGCAATGCAAGAGGCTTTTTACATAGCTTTCGTTTTGTGTTTCTATTTTCCAAAAGCCTTTTTCATCACATAAACTCAGTAAATAAAGTGCTGCTCCTCTCCTTGCAAAGTTTGCGCCAGGAAAAAGGTTGCCAACTAAAAAATTAATCAACCATTTCTTGAAGCTTTCATAAACAGCTAGTGTTTTCTTATCAGTTGACACACTTGTTGATTCTTTTGCATTAACACTTCTTTCACAAGTTGATAAACTATCTTTAAACCTAGTGATAAACTGTAAAAGAAATTTTGTTAGGGGTTAAAGCACAATTGAACAAAATGACTATAAATACCTTTTTGAAAATGCCAAAACTTTTCTGCCTAATTGTCAAGCTTTGGCAATTTATGTCATATTTAAGAAAATATTTAATTACTGAAAAGTCACTTTCTTCAAAGAGCTCAGTGCTTTTTTGAGTTTCTGTTAAAAGCGCAAATGTGGATACTCTGTCCTAAAAATAGAAGTAATGACTAATGGATGAAATTAATTTATAAAAGCTGTATGGCAAAAAAATTACTTCATCTCGTCCTTTAATGCAAGCAAAAATAGTCTGATATGACAGCACTCCTTTCCACTGATCAATAGTATTTCTTCTACCATTGAGCAAACCACATTTTCTTCCTATTCTCATTATAAGTAAAGTAAGGTTAAATGGCCATGATGGATTTTCTACATCCCTACAAGAGCAAATGAGTATTTTTAAGAATATTTTTACTATAAAATTGTCATAAATGTAAAGAAAACACATACTTAAGAGCATTTTCAAATACACCATTATGCACTTTTATAGCGGTAGTCATTATATGCTCAAGGGCGGCATTTGGCTCTGGTAATAAAAAATTCAAAACTGGAAGTACCCAAAGCGAGTACCATTCATTAAAGTCATTCCTCTCTTTGAAATGCTGCTTCATCAGATTTTCAAAAGAGCTAGTTGCCTATAATTTCTAATTGTTATCAGTAACTCATTTAATAATAAAACATTTATTAATTATAGTCTTATTACATGGTTGACACTTGTGCTGTTTCTAATAGAGAGAAGCAAGCTGTCAATAAGTCCAGGTGAATTTGATAGTAAATCTGCTACGGGAATCGATCCAATCAATGCTGATAGGGCGGTGTTGTTTGATCTTTTGTCTATCGGGATATTGGCAATATCCTTGACAATGGAATGAAATATAAAGTTGTCTGAAAGAAAGGCAAAGTAGAAAATCAACAATATATATTTTAAAAAAAAATATATATATATAATTTTTGAGGATCCACCTGTGTCACAGATCTCAGCTCCTCCACAAATCAGAAACTTCCCTTCATCCCACCCTAACAGTAAAGTCAAAAAGGGGGTGGAAGAAGTGAGGCCCTGACCTATCTTGAAAAATAAAAATAGAATGAAAAGCAACCAATGGAGTTCATTCTGCAGTGGAACTGCAGAACAATTAGAAATAAAAGAAATATGTTGTAGTTGCTTATTAGGATGGCAATACTCCTCCTCATCACCTGCATCCCCCGGGGGCTCACTTTCAGTTGACGGAGTATCAAACATACTCAAAGGAGGTGCAGCCCGATCCAGGAGGTAGGGCACACGGTGGAGTGGCTATATTATTATTAAGATATAGATAATAATATAATATATTATTAAGAATAATATATTAATAAGAGATAATATACATGCTCGTGAGGTGAGATTTAATATGAACATCCAGGCAACCACAACCCGAATGGTGGCACTGTGCTCGGTAGATTTTCCGCCAGATGGATTATTGCAAAGCAGTGAAGTTTCAGCCAAGATTGAGCCTCTCCTCCAATAGATTATGGTGTTGGGCAATTTCAATGCACACAATACCTGGTGGGGGGTACAGTGTACTGATACTAGGAGCAGGAATTGTCTCCATTGAGGAACCCCCACTTGAATGACCAATTCTTGATAGACCTGAGGAGTTCTGTCGGGAGGCAGATGTACCACTTTCTGGCTAGGTGGACTTGAAGCGAGCGAATTGGCTGCTTTTCTCTGCATTGTTAACGTTTCCTTCCCTTACAGGAGATGTCAACAGTCATCTCCCACTTATTGAGAAGGAGATCAACCGAGCCAAGGCTTATCAGTCCCCCAGACACGTGGGTCTACTTGAGGGAAGAAGTGGGTTTTTCGCCACTTCAGAAGGCACCTGTTGTTTGATAATCTCATTATGTATAAAGTGAAAAGGGTCAGGGAGAGGTGTACACCATTCCAAGCCAAAAGAGAATCCCGAGCAAAGTGCGTGGAAGGCATCAACTCTCGTACTTCGACTGGGGAAGCTTGGCGAAGGATAAGGGCTCTTTCTGGCTGAACTAAAACTCCGTCAGTACCGATACTAAGCATGGCGCATAGGAATGTGACCAAGGAATCGAATGTTTCTATCGAATTGGCACAGCACTTCATGGTCATGTCAAGTTCCACAGCTTATTCTGACAACTTACGTAGAACAAAAACCAAGAACGATTGACTCTGATGGCAGAGATGCATTACACAATCTGCAGATGGTTGGAGAAATGGAGGCAGCATTGGGGTGGACCTGGAATTCAAGTCCTGGGAGCTATGGTTTCCCATATGAAATGCTGCAAAACCTTCCTCAGGGTGAATATTTGTGTGGTTACACACATGGGAGAACGTATATCAGTGGCAGGGACGGAGGTTATTCGGGAATTGGAAAAAACTAAAGAAACAGCAAAGCAGACCATTATCTGGCCCAAAATTATGTTGGAAATTGAACAATTTATAAGAAACTGTTCAGCTTGTCAGAAATTTGCAAGAAGTAACATCAAGCAGCCCTTGTTTAGCCATCCAATTCCTACTAGACCATGGCAGAAGTTATTTGCCGATATCATGACATACAAGGCTAAGGACTACTTAATTGTGATGGATACATACTCCTATTGGATTGAAGTGTTACAATTGACATCTAAATCAGCAAATACTGAAAGCGAAAAATTGAAAAGCATATTTTCCAGGTTTGAATTCCAGAATTGTTAATATGTGATAATGTACCATTTGCAGCAGAGTCCATGAAATTATTTGCCAAGGAGTATGAACTCGATATTGTTACCAGAAGTGCAAATTACCCACAAACAAATTCGTTTGCTGAGAGCAGTGGGGATCATAAAAACTATGTTTAAAAAGTTTATGATCAAGATCAAGATTTATACCTGAGATTACCTTAGGATTATACCTTATTAGAATACAGAAATACTCCACTTAAATTGTGGTCCTTATTTATCCCCATCACAGTTATTGATGAACCACATTGCAAGAACAAAAATTCCAGTAAGTCCAACAAAATTGTTACCCAAGATAAATAAGGATGTCGAAGAGAAGATAATAAAACAACACCAAGTAACAGAAAAATATTACAACAGAGGATCCAAAAACCTCGTAGGATTACATGCGGGTGATGAAGTATTGAAGTATTTTCCAATACCCAAATCAAGAGTAGTGGAACAAAGGGATGATAAAAAATAAACATGGCACCCCACGTTCATTCATTGTGAAGGACCTTGAAACTGGTCAGCTAATTTGAAGGAATAGGATGCATTTACGAAAAGCAAATACAACATGGAACAGGAAAGTTCAAGAATATGGGAGACGTAATCAAACAAGACAAAGAAAACTGCCAAACTATTTAAAGGACTATGAAATGGACTAAAAACTAATTTATTAAAAGTTCCATTAATTAATTCTAAAAAAAATATATATAATAAAGATTCTATTATTTCATGTGAAAGAAGAATGGGATTTATTATATTTGTTGTATTACAGGTTATATATAGCTTAATAATGTAGTGAAAGTCTATCCTAAATAGAATATTAAATTCACTAATTTCGTGGTCCGCTTGACCAATTAATACTTTAAATTAATTAAGGTTTTTAGTTGAGATAAAAAAGTGAATGGCACAAGCGGGATTCGAACCCACGATCTTCGGCTAGATACGCCGCTGCTCTACCACTTGAGCTATCGTGACCTCGATCCACTCGGACATCAACTTCCCATCTCAACCCAAAACTTATCCTTCAGCCCGAAAAATGCGCCTGCAGAGTCTCGGTAGGATCTATTATCAGGGTCTCTGTTGTGTTCAAAACAAGCCCTTTGGCCAGCAGGCCCCTCAGTTATGCAGCGGGGTTCCTTTCCAAACTGGGACATCTGCATTTGGGTGCGATCCTTATATGCCAGTATATGAGCAACTTCAGTTCCAGACCCAACCTCTAAGAATATGTGTCGGCGAAGCCTTACAGAGGACAGAGAACAGTTCGCGAGCTGGGCAACTGGCTGACTCCACCCAGGGTCCTCCCAGCCGTACTCCTACAAGAATATCTCACCATATTAAAAAAGTTGTCTACTCTTGCCATACCTTTACCAAGTAAATTCTTGGAGCTTAGATTGAGGCACACTGGGTTTTGGCTCATTACAGAAAGGTCTACGACTGACGAAGTTGTAAAGTATCAGGTCGCTCCTGCCACATTGCAGTGTTTACACTGCAGATCTGTATGCGATTTGGCATGCACTTTAGGTGATTCGAGACTATGGTCACTCTCATTGAAAACTAGGTATACACAGCTATTATTAATATATATACAATAGAGCAACCCCATTTCCTCCCAGAATCGGAACAGGGGACCTCGCTGCCGCTCAAGACCAATTCTCACATCGGATGGCATTCCTGCGCGCTCTCTTTATGGAGCCAAGGAGTTGCATACTTCAATTAGGTGGGACACACCAAGCAATCTTTCTTTTCATGCTGAAGTAAGTTTCTGTGTGTCAACCTCTGGCTGTGTGTACCTAGTTTGCACAATTTTTAAAAAAAATGTTTAATTAGGGTATTTCAACTATGAGGTTATATGAACCCTCCATAAAAAACTCATTTTTCAAATGCAGGGCTGCACCCGGGACCTTTACCTTACAGTGATGAGGGCCATGTCAACACCTAAACTGTTGCAGCCACTGACACCCTAATTTTTGTGTCGTTTATATATTTGCCTGCACTAGTATTTGAGGTAACCCCTTGAAAGTCCCAATTTGGCCCAAAACCTCGCCCTATAGCTGAGGGTAAGCTGCTCTCTTCAAAGTTTGGGTGGCAGCACTACCAGCTTACACACTACTGACTTGCAAAAAAATTTGTTAGAGACATACCGGAGAGAAACCCAGTTCAACAAAAAAACCATATTTTCATATCCTGTTTTACATATTGGCAAACATGAAACTATTAGGTGAATATGCAAAATTAACTCGAAAAAAGAACACACCCATGGACAAATTCTGAGGTCAAATTTCAACGACTTATCAAATAAATAAAACCTTTAAAATAAGACATATACTATTAATATAAAAAATATAAAATATATTTTTTCAAGCAACAAGATTTTTGGACCATAGCTACATCAATATTCATGTTTGAGTGAAGAGGCATTTAACACAACATTCTGTTATTCAAATCGGTATAATCATGGCTGAAATTTAGTGAAAGTTGAAACTGAAAAATAAATCGATATAAAAATTTTTTTGCCTTATAATGTACTGAACAAATTTTGGAGAATTTTTAACCTGTTGTTCAGTTTAAAACGTTCAACCTAAATTAAACATATTGATGATCACTTGAATTAATAAACAAATATTATTGTTACATCTGATTTTTACTTTTATTTGTTATGAAAATCTGAAGTTATAATTTTGTTAGTTTTGAGTCTATTTCTTTTTTTTAACTTATTACTGGGCTAACAAAAACTGGTTTATCAAATGGCTGAGAATTTGAGTAAGTGTATCATGCTGCTATGATAAAGAATATTCCAAATAATTTTATTTTTATGAATAAACAATTTTCTTATTACAAATGTTCCAGGAATTACGGATCATGGAGGAAGTGGTGATTTCTTTGTGAACGACCACCTCAGGCATCCATTAAATTTGCATTCCGAAGAGCACTATGGATTTCGAATGGAGACAATTCTACCAGGAGTGGTCGTTTACACCGAAGATGACGATGGTGTGGCAAGACTAACTGAAGGCTTTGGCAGACTCAGTTTGAATCTCGGTGATAGCGAGCCTGTAACTTCTGACGATGAAGAACCAAGCACAAGTAAGCAGGAAAACAAAGAAAGCGCGACAAAATCTGAGGTCAATGAAAAAGTATCAAATACCTTAGATACTAGCGCAGATTAATTGGCCGGTTTAATAATGTAATCCCATTAAAATTATTTGAAATGTACAGATTTGTTTTATTCATAACAAAATATTAAAATCTTACTTTCACTCTTCTTGCCTATGGCGACCAAATTAGATAATGTTGATGATGCTAAATGTCTTACAGCATCCATGCTATGCTCTAAATGTAGCCAAATGTGTGACAAAAGTTTTAAAACGAGGCTTTCCGTAATGAGTGCAGGGTGAGCTAATATGCTTTTTGTAGCTAATAGCAAGCATCGGCTACATGTAAGAACCAACCCACAATTTGCAGAATTTCTACAAAGAAAAAAATATTTTTAAATTTAAGTCAATTTATTTTCAAATAAATAATTATAATAAATAATTAATTTTCATTACTTTTCTTCCACATCAAGTATTATCTCAACTACACATGCCAGCACACTATTTTCTTCACCCTTGTAAACCCAGGCTGAGTTTAAATCATCAAATGAGAGTGAGTTTAACATACCAGATATTACACAAAGCTGATCGAGATCGTCAGTCGAATTTACCATATTTTCAAGCTTAATATACAAATATTTTATTAATTTCTGTAATACATAATAATGAAAGTTTAAAATAAAAGTTCTTACCTCTGCCCATTCGAATCTTTCATAGATCATCGTGAAAATCATCACACAGAGTATTCCAAAATTGGATTTTGTGTCCAAAGGAAGCTGATCGTGTTTCATCAATTTGATAACTAGATTCAACGTGTTTAAATTTGGACTTACTCTTGTTTTTTGTAGAAGATTTATCGCACACCTTGTGCATATGTGAATACAATTCAAAATTGCTAGGACTTGTGTAGGTGGTTCTGATTTGCTAAAATAGACTAATAATATAATTTAAATGTTTATATTTCTAAGTGAAATAAAGAGTACTAATTACTTCAAATTGTTCAAACAGTACTGAAGACTTTTTTCAATATAGTCCAATACAGATTCTTTAATACTGACTAGGGAAAAATCACTGTTTTCTGAATTCTCCAAACAGAAAATCAACATAGATACACACTCTGCTATTTCAGCAATATTATCCACATTCAAAATTTTGTTTGCAATTTTTGTCTTAAATTTGGATCCAACCAATGGTTTCAAATTGTCAGTGACATTCATCAAAAGCCTAAAATAATAAAGTAATAAAATAATTATTCACAATATTAAATAAAAATTTTGTTACCGTAAAACAGGTATTTTTAGTGGGCTCTTTATGTCAGTTTCTATTAATATGTCTATATACAACTCTAAAAGTTTATCAGCATTTTCCTTAATAGAGCCATTATTTAGTTCAGTCATCACCTAAAACAGTAACTGTTTAGTTAAATTCCCATTTTTAAACAGACTATAAAAACGCATTACTTTTTTCAAGACAGAAATCTGTTCTTCCATGGAATTAGTTTCATATAGAAATTTGATTTCTTGAATATCTTCCCCATCTATAATAATAATAATAAATACAATAATCTATTCAAATTCTATTACTCTGGAACATACATTTTTTTAATATAGAATTCAGATCCTCCTTAGTATCTTGTTTCAATGATTTCTTCAACCTTTCTCCAACAATTCTTAAATTTAAACCGTTCATTTCTTCTGAAAATATATTTAAAAGTAATTGATTACACAAATGCAATACTTTTCTATTTCTACTGAATTATTCAATTTGCAAAGGAAAGATCAGGATGAGAAATGATCAACAGTGATTCAATCAGCAAACTAATATGTACAGAAAAATAGAACAAGTTCCTTTGGCCATTGTAATAAATGGGTGCAGAAAACCATTCAGTGATAAAGGAGATTTAATGAAATCTTTGTAATTAATGAGTTGAAGGAAAAAGAACAATAATTTTAATATACTAACTTTTAATTATTTTTATCAGCTTATGCTTAATTATACAGTCACTCAATTCCAATTGTAAGCAAATCGCGACTTCAGAAACACTTTTTATTAACGATTGTACTACATTCGATCACTTTCGAATTATATAATTTTATTATTGTTGAACCCAAATCCAATAGCATGGCAAAGATGATGAGTCAGATGGCCCTTATCAGTTGGGCCACCATGGTTTATTTTTTTGCTTGTCAGTATATCATAAAATATACAGTATGTATGTATCAGAAAAATAAGCAATGTCTGAAAAATAAATTGTGTTCCTTAAATTTTTTTATGAAAAAAAATTTTTTTTGTACATCCCTGCCTGCTGTCAGAAACTAAGCTTGTACTAGGCAGCAGGAGATGTTTTTTTTGGAAATCCTCAGAGAAAGAAACAAAATATATCTTTAAAAAGGATAACGGAAAAAAAAAATTAAATCTTGTCTTTAAAATATCTTAACTACAATTTAAATTATAAATTTTTTGTCTATAAACAAATAATTTTCACATGACACATAAACATATAAATTCATATCTCATCCAACCGTTATAGGACTTTTATTATTATTATTATTTAATGCAGGCATATTGACTATGAGGTTGTCGGAACCTCGGGGTGATGAAATTTTTGAAAAATGTTTCCAATTTACAATATCGCACAAATGCAAATTTAAGCAATATCAAACTTTATTTTATTTTTTAAAATAAGTTTAACTTAAGTTGGTTGTAAAAATATTTTAAATCTAGAATGTTGGGTTTTTTTAAACTAAACACCTTTATTTTTTTTGCACTATATTTTAGTTGCTAATGCATTTTGGGCTCACTATCTAGCTAAATTGAACTGAAATTAAATAGTGAGCTCTGAAGAGGGACCAGGGACATGGCCCGAAATGCATCAGTAACTGAAATGTATTGCATAAAAATAAATTGGTGTGTTTAGTTAAAAAAATTAACATTCTAGATGTATGCAATATCCTTTGAGTATACAAAAATATGCAGAATAAAATTTGAACCATTGTACCACAGAGATGTGATTACGATAAATATCTGATCAGTGATCACCATATTCATAGGTGTTAGCAAATATAATATACAATTGCATACAAATTCAGGACATAAAAAGTATTATGACAAATCAAAACTTATACTTTCTTTGAAGTTTTCTAATGGATTTCACTGAATCATACATATAACAAAATACAAATATGATAAAAAATATATATTATACAATAAAGTATAATTATGTAGTATAGTATATTGTGTATAGTAGGTTTTTTCTATCCTTTTGTCAATTTTATTATCATTTTTATCTGATATGTATACAGAAGCCCACAATTAAAAATGGGAAATGCCAATACTCTTCTGACAGACCATCAAGATAGCTAGATCAGAATGCACAGATGTCCATCTAATATTTCTGAACACGTGCAAAAACTTGGTAATTAAAAAACAAGCTTTTCATGATTCCAATTTTAAAGTTTAGACTTTTGGTACAAATCTTATTTTTGTAGTAACTTTTTTTTTAATTGTCCCCACATTTCATCAATTTCAATGTAGTTGTCCTGGTAGAAAAGTGTATTAATTTATTTAATTATATCTTAACTTTGTAGCACTTATCCCTACACTTATCTAGTTCTTAAAACAAATCTAGGGCCTTTAATGATTATTATACCACCACTTCTGTAGTTATTCACATATATCTTTGAATTTCTAGGCGTGTAAAATGGAATAAGCCAAGCTATATTAAATGAGATGAGATTACTGCACTAATTTACTTGTGACCAACCAAAAACAAACATTTCTCTTTGATGTACCTAGACAAATATTCATTAGGACATAGGTAAGTACACTCATTGTATTGCAGTATATGAGTTAATCGAGTTTACAAATAGAATTATTGAAATACCGACATACCTTTTTGTGATGTCTAAAAACGCTCATTGCATTTAAAAGGAAATTCTCGACTTAAAAAGAAAAAAAGAAAAAAAAATATCAACAATGTTAGTCTGTTATATAAACTATAATTTTTTATGACATACATTGGATATAAATTAAATATTTCTGTGTATTTTTATAAATGAATTACTCCAATTAAGTGACATATAATAAATAATGATTTATTCTAAGTGGATTTTATCTAAAATTATATTGAAAACATGCAGACTAGTACATTCAAATATAAATCTTATATTTATATTGACAAAGTGTGATTGTCATACAAACTGTCGGGTTTGTAAATTTGAAATGACCACTTTTCCAGTGGAAAAACAATATATTCAGTAAGTGAGTTTACCTGAATATTCCCATTCAATGAGAGACACGTGTTTACAAACAATATTTTGCAACCTGCTGACTGATGTGTAGTTGTTCTATAAGACCAAGATTGCTGCACTCTACAGGATTCATGGAGAATGTCTAACTTTGGGATGTAGCTCTGCAAGCAAGATATACGTGTTAAATAGCTGAATATATTACAGTAAAAAATTCTTTAGTCAGATACATTGGCAGTTCAATTCAGTATCTTTGCCTACGCCTTGACATGAGCTTAACGCGGAGAGTATATAGTTATACAATAAGAATAATTTATGGGCGTGAGCTTTCTTCATCTGAGTCAAGTTAATGCTAAGTTGGCTATATACCTGCGTCTTAAGTACAATGTTGACATATAGGTCGGTGGTGTGGTTGACCAAGCTCTGCAGGGCAATGCAATCAAGCTATTAAATGGCACCCAAAAACAATCTTGTCTCAGTGTCACTGTAGCCATGAGCACAAAGCCAACTTTGACCCTGGAAGTGTTATTAAACCTCTCTCCACTTCATATTTTAATCCAAGGAGAAGCCAGAGCAGCAGCCCACAGGTTCATAAATGGACAACCATCTGCAAGGATAAGCCATGTAAATAAATAAGGAAAATTGAGAGAGGAGATACAGGCTGATGACATATTAAGCATGTCAATCGATGCCACTACAACAAAATACAATTTTACTAGAAAGTGCAAGGTACTGATACCTGAACGGGAAGAATGGGCCAAAGAAACACTGATAAAGTCAAACTCCTACTGGTACACTGATGGCTCCAAAACCGACAATGGCACGGGGCTGGAGTCTTCGGGGCGAATCCAAATACCAATTGACGGTAACTATGCTACAGTTTTCCAGTCTGAAATCATAGCGCTTGAACACTGCGCCGGGGAAATTAAAAGGCTAGGATTACATTCCCGGAAGATAGCCTTTTGTGCCTTTCATTCGTTAATTCGTTTGCCGCTCCTAAGCCAAAACTGGCTCTTTGCAGCTTCTTGGCAATTACTGCGTGCTGGATGGGCCTCGTGGAGGCGGCTGGCTCGGGATATTCAGGTGGAGGAGGTATAGGCTTCATTTCTTTCATAATAATCTTTTCGGTTATGTCTGCCATCCTTTGTGTTTCATAACGCTTTTCCACATCTTTTTTGTTGCGTTGAAACCCGTCCTAGTGGCAATTGCTGTTCTTAGGTCCTCCATAGCCTCCTGTTTCCTCGTTAATCTTGAAGAGCCAGCGTACACGTAGTAAGACGTGGTCCACCGTTTTTTCCAGCCCGCACTCACACATCGGGCTGCCTTAAGTCTGAAGGCATGGAGTTTTGCGGCAAAAATCTCCATGTCCTGTCAGTAACTGAGACAGAGAGTAGAGGTCCTGAACTCTACTGTGGTTTAACATCTTGCCACAAAAGTAAATACATTTTAAAATAGATCCTTAATAAGAACAAAACCTGGTGGAACAATACCATAGGTATGTGACACGCGAAGATATTCATAGAACGGCCATCAAAACTTACACAGAAATTACTGGAAGGCAACCGCAGCCGAACCAGAATTCTGATTGGACTCCTTACATAAAACTTCCACTTAAGAAAGTACATGCATCGGATAGGGGTAGAGACAGAAGAAACACTGTGCAGATACTGCCAGGAAGAGGAAGAGACCGCAGAACACATTTTATGTTTCAGTGAAGGTCTATGTAGGTACAGGTTCATGCAACTAGGACAGGAAAAATCGCAAGCAAGACCCCACAATAAGGAGCTGCTGGCAAAACTCATATCTCTCGTACTTTCTCTCCAACTCACTCTCTTTCACACTCTTTCTCTCTTTCTCCCATTCTCTCTTACACAATTACTTACTCATATATCATTTTCCCACTTTCATTTATTCACTCTCACTCACTCACTTTAATACGCTTATTCTAAACATTTCACTTTGTGAAAATGTCTCTCTCTCTCTCTCTCTCTCTCTCTCTCTCTCTCTCTCTCTCTCTCTCTCTCTCCATACCACCCCCATGTGGGGGACCCCATTTACCAGATTGTCAATATCTTATCTTAAGATAACGATAAGTCGAATGCTCCTGTGTTAATTCTTTAGGAAACTTTCGTGTTATTAAAACATGATCCAACACTGTCAAAAAAACTGCAGATGTACCGATAAACAAATATTTATTTATAAATGACAAACAGAAAGACACTAAAAGAATATTTAAAAGGAAGATTAATTTCTAAATATAATAAATAAATTTATCTTTGAATAAGACAATATTAGTTATAAGTATTTAACTTTTTTTCAGGGAAACCCTGCAAATCCTAGGTTTTAAACCATGATCGATCTGTTATGAAATACCATATCCTTTTTTTATAGTTGAAATCCCTCGGCAAAAGTTTATCATCCGATAAGACAGATATTCCATTATCTCACTCCCGATACGGTCACACGTCCATAATTCTAATCGATAAATTTTAGAGGAATGTAAATTAAGCACGGAAGGCTTGAGCGGGTTTGTTTAACAACATGGAATTAATCGCTTTTAAGCCAGAAGTACACTCGTCGATTTTGAGGGTCCTTCAGCAACGGTCAGGCTCTCGCCGGTGCTTTCTTTCGAGAGTGATACTTAAATGTTCATGTAAAAAGCCGAGTGTGACACTCGACACTACTCAATAAAGTTTTCGATTCGGTAATTGTTATTTGATTGGAAAACAATCTAATATGCTGGAAAGAGTTTTACATTGAAATGATACCCAACAAGCACTATCAATTTTACTGAAACCTAGCCAAGTGAAAGTATATATTTTTTCAGACAAATATATTTTTTAAAGTGAAAAGATAGGTTTTTAAATCATTACCACACAACGAAAATACTTTCCTATTACGCGTCATACGCGTGAAAGCTTTAATTCCACTACGTGGTTTTCATCGATGATTTTGCTGCCTATCCTCACTCCGTTGGTCTTTTCGCCATCTTCAGTGTTTCTGGCTGTAATAGGACGCCAGTACTGATTGGCTCACCAAAATGATTGGTACGACGAAACTAGACGTTTATCACTACACAGACCACACGAAGAAATCTCAAAACTTTTCCAGCAGCCCATGCAGCGTCCTTTCCTTTTCGGGGAAAAAATACGACTTTAATTTATTATTTTAGTCTATTTTTATGTAATAAATTAACAATATATATATTATGATTATAGAAATTATATTATTTATTAGACTTTTATTTATTAGAAATGTATTATGATTTTTCGTCTCCTCAATAAAATTTCTAAGCCTTTCATGTTACTGTATGTTATGTTGTTAACTGAGCTTTATTTATTTTGGTCCAAATAAACTATATTATTTTTATTGTACAAAAACGAATGATAGGTGGCGAAAATGTTTCGTGACTATGTTCGCATCATCTACACGGCCGTCTCACGAAGCTCTTTCGAGAAGAATGGCTCCTAAATATAACTACTGACGACCTAATTCATGAAGTTAAATGATAGTTTTCATGTTACATTGCAGTCCTAGATGATTTCCAGAAGGATGTTCCGTGTATTTTTTAAACTGATTATCAATAAAGCGCCCTTGCTTGTTTGTTCATGATGGCTATTGACAGTTAGAAAAAAGTTAGAATTAATATCTCAACAAAACCTAACCGTGAAAAAGGGCCAAATTCCATACCCCCTGCCAACAAATTAACCTATCAATGTAATGATATCTACATTGTGATTGTGCCAATTCGTTATTTTTTAGGTAAACCCTGAGAGAACTCAAAAGAAAAGATAAAAGTTCCAGACTCCATCCCAAAAAAGCCTATCAAAGTAGTGATATCTACATTGTGGCCAACCGCACTTCACTCCCATTTTTATGAGCAATACTGCTGTTTTATTTTTAAAATTTTTCTGAATGAGGATTAAAACATCAGGAACATATCCTGCTTCCACAGGAGAGGTGGGAGAAGGGAAGGAAGAACAGAAAAAAAGAAAAAATTCAGAAGAAAAGAAAAAAGTTCCAGACTCCTCATTGCTAATTCAGAAACTGGCCAAGTGTTAAGCAATAAAAATAAAAGAACATTGGTGCTCATAAAGGAGGGAGTGAAGTGAGGTTGAGTCTGAACTTAGCCCATTTTTCATGGTTAGGTTTTTCGTTGGAATTCATTTTAACAAATATTATAAGTTAAATTGTAAATAATTTTGCTATTAATAATGCGTGTGATACACGTGTGGACCATGCATAAAGTATATTTCTTTGGTATAGGGTTTTTTGAAAAGCAAGCCAAAAGGAAACAGTAAAAGACATAGCGTTTTGAGTAAACAGTGTTTTTTCTTTAATACCTGCTATATCTTGATCGTCGTCAATCATACAGCTCCACATATCTTCGCTGATTTTGACTGTAATTTTTGTTTCTGCATTTCGATATCTTTATTAATTGCTCTGTCATACTTAAGAATTTTTTAAGCTGCTTATTTTGAAACTTCCATATACTGTTCGTGCTAGTCTTTTTTTAATATTTATTTTTTCATTTGTTACGTTTTTATTTCACGACGGCTTTGTAGCCACTTTATGAGCGACCTAACATCCTACTGAACTGTGGAATACATTGAACATGCAGCGTCTTCTTCAGAAATGATGTCTTCTTCATACGTGGCTAAAGACTCTAATGTAATAAATGGTACGTTAAAACACACAAATGCACCCACAGTGGGTTAAAAAACCCAATCTATGTCTAACCTAAGTTTAACGACCTAGTCTCAATATTCCGCCGCAGAACCGCCCATCGTCAATACCCGCTTAAACACGCAACTGAATATGGTTGTCCCAATTTGTTCTAACTAATTTGTTAGTACAATTAAATAGTAATTAAAAAGTGTTATTTATTTATTTATATGAAATTCCAAAATGCATACAAGCCGTTAAATACATTAGGCGGGAATTGGACACAGCAATGTTGAAATGAATCTAAACGTACAATTTAATTTGATTGATCGAATTATGCTAGTTAAAGCTCGTATGTAGTTAAATAAGTAACGCAATAGACAAGATTGCTTGA